TCTGAGCGCCCACTAGTGTATCCTTATCATTTGTTTAATATAATTTTAACTTTTACTTTAGAATAAAGGGGGTACATGTGCAAGTTTGTTACAAAGGTATATTGTGTGATGCTGGGGTTTGGGATATAACAACCTGTCAGCCAGGTAGTGAGCATAGTACCCAATAGTTTTTTCATCCTTGCTCTCTCCCTCCCTTCCCATTCTAGTAGTCCCCAGTGTCATTCTTGCCATCATTATATCCAAGAGTACCCAGTGTTTAGCTCACACTTATAAGTGAAAACATGTGGTATTTGGTTTTCTATTCCTGGGTCAATTTGTTTAAGATAATGGCCTCCAGATGCATCCAGTTTGCTGCAAAAAACATGATTTTGTTCTATTTTATGGCTGCATATATTCCATAGTGTATATGACAGTTTTTAATCCAGTCTACTACTGATGGCACCGAGGCTGATTCCATGTCTCTGCTAACTGCTACAATGAACATATGAGTGCATGTGTCTTTTGGTAAAATGTTTCATTTTCTTTTAAATATATACCCAGTAATGAGATTGCTGGGTTGAATGGTAGTTCCTTTTAAAGTTCTTTGAGAAATCTCCAAACTACTTTCCACAGTAGCTGAACTAATTTACATTCCCATCAACAGTGTATAAGCATTCCTTTTTCTCCACAACTTCACCAGTATCTGTTGTTATTTGACTTTTTAATAATAGCCACTCTGACTGGTGTGAGATGGTATCTCATTGTGGTTTCAGTTTGCATTTTTCTGATTATTACTAACATAGGAAACATCATTCTGGACTGTCAGCCTTGGGAAAGAATTTATAACTGAGTCCTCAAAAGCAATTACAACAAAAACAAAAATTGGCAAGTGGAACCTAATTAAATTAAATAACTTATGCACAGCAAAAGGAGCTATCAACAGAATAAACATTCTAGAGGATGGGAGAAAATATTTGCAAATGATACATCTGACAAAGGTCTAATATCCAGAATCTGTAAGGAATTTGACAAGAATAAACAACTTCATGAAAAAGTGGACAAAAGACATGAACAGACACTTCTTCAAAGAAAAGACATACAAGTGATCAAGCTTGCTATGTTTTATAGTTCATGCTCCAAACTGAAAACAGACCCACGAGTGTGATATAAAGTGGACCTTCTTTGGACTTAGTTCTATGCTTTGATCAAGGCGGCCTGTTAGTGACTATTCTTGACTCCCATTATGCTTACGTAAGGCAACTCGCTTTCTCTATTTAGGCAACTGTCGTCTCTATTTTTTTTAAATGCTGGACAATATACCAGGGTGACATCTCGCTAATGATGAAAATTGAGAGATATAAAGGATCATAGATACTAAGTAGTCCAAAGGTAGCAAACTAGCCCACAAACCCAGCTGATTTGGTATACACAGATTTGGCATGCATGAAGTCTTAAAGACAAATTGAAGCCCATTTTCAAGAGCTGCATACGTTGGCACCTTTAGCAGGGCAGTAAGACTTTTAATCCTGAATGACCACAATCACCTGGAACTGTCTCTTCTATCTATTTAGACCGAGCATGCTTGTTCCAGGTGCTTACAACTGACCCCCTTCACTGACTTCCATTACCAGCCTGCTCCCTGAATGAGTTAGCAGACCCATAGCGGTTTCAAGGATTTGTATCTGATTTTCCTCTACCTCCTCAACTTTTCTCTCATTTCCAGTCTGCCTTTGCTTCTAGCTTCACTTACCTACCTAAACGCACCCTACAGGATCAAATCTAGTTCTGTTGCTGCAACTCCATCTATAAGTGCTGATGACTCTACTTTTGGCCATTCTCTCAAACTCCAGAATAGTCCTTCCAGTTGTTCCTCTTTCCCCAGCCATTTCTGTGCTTGTCTTTTCTGTGCGTGTGTCCACCTTTCCACATTCATGTCTTACCCAGCTCATCCAGAACGGTTCCTCTGGTTTCTGCTCTGTCCTGCCATATGTGTCGGACTTTGCTTTGTATATCTTCTCCTTGGTTGTCCAGAATGATCCAGTTTTGCCCCTGCCCTCATCATTTCTGTGATTTTAGCTGTGCTCTGTATTTTCTGTCTTACAGGACAGAAGTTCCAACTTCCTTCTATTTTCCTCCACATCACTCACATCCTCTTTCAATACTGGCTCCTGTTTCTGTTCTCCAACCCACTGGTTTTCAAGTAAGATTCCCAGACCAGCATTAGCACCAGCTGGAAACTTGTTGAAACTACAAATCCTTGGGTCCCACCCCAGACTTACTGAATCAGAAACTCTAGGGACGGGGCTAAGCTATCTCGATGTGATAAGCCTCCCTAACGATTTTGATTCCTGAGTTTGAGAATCACTGCGCTCCACCCCAGCAGTTCTCAGCTTTCCTTGACATCTGAATCTCCTGAGGAGGTGTTTAAAATACTCATCTCTGGGCACCACTCAAAAACAATTAACTCAATTTCTCTGGGAGTGGATCCAATTAGGGATATAGTTGTAGAAACTCTGCAGGTAATTCTAATGTAGAATCAGGGTTGCCTCTAGCCTGCCAAAATGTTTCCTTTTTGAAGCCTTGACTTGGTCCCTCTGTCTGTGAAGCTCTGCCTCCACTCCACATGTCTTGTTTTCTCTTTATTGCCATCAACTAAGAAAAGCCTTCCCTAGTCATCCTAACTCCAAGCATCCTCCCCGCCCCAGACACTTTCTGTCACTTTATCCTGTATTATTGTCTTACTTGTACTAATCTCTAATATTTGAAAAAATCATTCATTTACTTTTTGACCCTACTAGAAAATGAACTGCAGGGGACCAATGACTGTTCCTTTCAAGGCTGCATCCTAGCTCCCTAGAACAATGCCAGCACACGTAGCAGCTCGAGATATATTTGTTGCATGAAAGAACAAACAACACACACACAAACACCCCAACACCACATGCTATTTATTCCAAACCCTGTGCTTTCAATGCTCTAGTTTTCTTTGACTAAAATTTTGTTCTTTTCTTTGCATTATCTTTTATTTTATAATTAGCAGCATTCCCAAAAAGGTCTAGAACATTTGCTTCAATTCTTCTTTATCCACAATAAATTCTGTTTCCTAATATCATGTATGATGTTGTAAGTATTCAATCTTTCACTTCTTTAAAAAATGTGCAGTGGATACTCGCCTCGTACATGAGTGGCAGAAGCACATAGACCAAGCTTTAGGTCTCTTTCTGTTTGCTTCGTGGTGTGGATGAAGTGTGTTGCTGGGTACATGGGGGTAGATACTTTCTGAAGTGAATTGACTTGAGGAAAGGAAAAAAGCTTTCAGTCAATAGTTTTAAAAGCCAAAGGAGAATTGAAGAGAGAGCAAGAATAAAAACAGATACAGGAAAGAGCACATCGTTCAATAGAGAGATTGAATTTAAAAAACAAAAAACAAAAAACAAGGGCTGGGTGTCTAATGCATGTCCATGTATTGGGAATGCCTTGGTGGCTGCTATTTCCAGTTGGTCCCTCTTACTATGCCAGCACTTTTGAAGATCTAGGTCTGGACAGAAATTCAACTGTCCCCCTTAGCCATCCCTTCCCTTTCTCTCTTAAACTGTGCAGAAGACTGAAACTAGCATTCACATCAGGGAATGCTGGAACACCACAGGCAGCCATTGATTGCAAGTAAGCTGCTACAGAAACTCCCCTTTTATGATGCTACATTATCTCTATAAGAGCAATCAGAGCGATCAGCTGGAAATCCCTCAACACTGAGAAGGAACTGACTGGCTCACACACTGCTTCTCCTTGAAATAACTTGCTGGGAGACCAGTAGGGCTCTTCAGCACAAATCAACATCCTAAGGGATTGATCTGTTCCTCCCTAGGAGGGAATGCCTGCTGACTTTGGCTGGACAGAGCCAGAGAGGGGACAAAGCCTTTAAATGATGATTAATACATTGGGATTAGGATGCATTTGTCTTGTATCAGTCCAGGCAGTGTCTTCATTTTCATAACTTAGGATTCCTAATAAACCAGAGGTTAAATTACTTAGACATATTTACTCTTAGTCATACATTTTTATGCTTTAAGATTTAGGCTTGGCCTGACAAAGCTATGATGAGGCTTAAAATCATTTTACCTCTCTTCACTCCAACTTCTTTGTATAATCTGGACATTCAGAGGGTCGCTTCCCTAAAATCAAGAATTGTAGATGCATATGTGTCTTTATTTATCTTGGCTTTATTCATGCACCAGCTCTGCCCTCCACACCTTTAATTCACTCCTTCATCCCAATAACTTGAGTTTTCCAGTGCTGCCTACTCAATGTCTATAACCTTTCCCCTGAGGCCTGCCCTCTCCTGTAACATTCCAGTTTCCGGACTTCATCTGGCCTCCTTCCTGGGTCAATTTCTTTAAAGCAAGGATCTTTACAAGAGTTAACTTGATAACCTAATTTGCACTTTGTTGATGATCTAATATGTATGTTACCTTTCCAAGTACGTAACAGACATGCACTGAAAGACGTGTCTGAAACTCTGTAATTCAAAGACTAAAAATAGGAACTTTTAGCAGTTTTGGATGTCAGAGAAACAGGGGAAGATTTGGTCAGTGGGCAAGGGCAAGTCAAGTGGTGGTGGTGTCAGTCACAACAGAGGGGCCACCTTCACTGTGTCCTCTTGGAAGAGACCTAATTAACATAACCGTACGTGCTTCACCCCATGCACAGCAGCAATGCATAATTCTTACACACTCCTGGGGCTAGAGACACTGGCCCAGCCAGACTGGGGGACAAGGGCCTTTTTAGGTTCACAGAGAGGAAATGTAGAGAAAGTGAAGAGGGAGGAGAAAACCACCAGTTTGGAGACCTAGAAGATAAACTTAGTCTATCTTCTGAACATTTTTTTAATTCATTGAAATAAGTCATAGAGAATGACTTCAGGCACAGTTCAGTTCCATTTAACAGGTATTTACTGACAGCTAAGGCATAATTAATAGGGATAATACTACGTTACTAATCAACAACACTGAATTAACACTTACCTTGTATCATGCACTCCACTGAGCATTTTACATGGATTATTTCAATCAGCCTTGTTGGGTGATAGGCAGTGACATGCTAGTTAACTGGCTCTCTGAGGAGAAAAGAAAAACACCCTAATTTGTAGCATCTGCTTATTGCTATGGTGTAAACATTCCTAGCATAGATAATTTAAAGCTACCAATAGCTCACAAAATTTCTGAGTATATTAAAGTTGGCCCACATAATTCCTGACTATTTAACAATTGGGTCTCCTAGCTAGTAGAAGCTGGTTCCGGCACACCACTTGTGGTAGATACCTTTACTTTCCCCTTTGTGAGGGTGACCAGGTCCTCCCAGTTTGCCTGGGATTTTCTTGGTGTTAGTATGTTTAGGGAAATCCCTCAATTCCGGAGGAACTGAGACTGTTGGTCACCCTACCCTTTTGCCCTCATGAATATGATTAGTACCCTTATAAAAGAGGCTTCAGGGGGTTGCTTTGCCCTTTCCACCATGTGAAGATGAAGTTAGAAGCTGCATCTATGAATTAGAAAGGGGGCCCTCACCAGACACCAAACCTATTGATGCCTGGATCTTGGACTTCCCAGCCTCCAGAACTGTGAGAAATAAAGTTACCCACTTTTCCCTGTTTCCTGTTATTTTGTTATAGTAGCTCAAATAGAGTAGGCCACCTTTGTACATATGAAGAAATTGGGAATTTAGAGAAATATGTCCAATATCACATAGGTAGTCAGCAGCAGAACTGTTTGCAGAACTTACAAGTTTGATTATGCAGCCTGTGAGCATCACTGCAACAGACAACAAGCTTTCATTCTTCAGTTGAGAAGGTCAGCCATAAGTGCAAAAACTGTAAGAGAGGACACACACATGCACACGCACACACGCACATTTCATAAAAACAGAAAAACTAAATTGATTTATGGCATTATTAAAGTATATTATATGTACCTAAGAGAATGAACCACAGCCTTGCCCAGCTGATTGCTTTATTGAAATCAAGGATTTAGCTCAGTGTCATTTTATTGAGATCCCCTGAAAAGAATTGTCCACAGTCTCCTAGCATCTGCACTAGTATCATCTACATAAATCCTCCACATTATGCAGTGGGTACAGATAAAGCCAGGCTCTGCTTCTCAGTACACAAGCACAGTAGTGAGAGCAACGCTTCATCTTTCAACATCCTGGGAAATTTTATAAGTGAGGAAATTTGGCTTTTCTTAATATGCACTGTTGAATACAAGCTTCATTAGCTATAACATAATCCCTCATTTTAGAAAATCATTTCAATGATTATTCCTAATGAGTATCAAGATATTTATATGAAAAGTAGAGCTTCTTTCCTTCCAAATTGAAACTCATGAACTCTAGTATATCCTTTAATTAGAATATCCTTCAAGAATAAGTCTCATGAATAATCATGTTAATGTTCCATTATTTTCTAAGTAAGATGAAGTTCTGTTTGGAAACTTTACATTTTGTTTTTCCATATCCGATAGAGGTTTTAATGAATGTTATTTGTAAAAAGTCAAATCATTTATTTAGATTATAGTGAACATCACTTTTGACCCCACAGACCCCTTTTAATTGGTAAAATAAATTATCTGCTACATAGAAATGAGTTATCCCAATTTTGTAAAATGCCATAAAATTCTGAAAGCCTTAAAAGAGTGCAAAATGACATTAATTTACCCAAGCAATGTTCCAGAAGAGTTGGTTTAATACGAATATATAACATATAAAAATAGTGATTTTCAACACTCATGAACTATCTTAATATCAAGAATTTTCCAGAAACTCTTCCCAAATGCTTAAAAAAATCTAATATATACCTCACCCCATTAACTTCAAAAAATAAGTATATGCCAATTTGGGCTTTTGTGTGCTAGAGAGAGACAAAAAAATGAAGAAAGAGAATATGTTTAAGTTGGGAGTCACAAAATAGTAACCAGAAATAGATTTAAATTTTATTTCTCAGGAGGCCTTATGTCCCTGAGGTTTATTTTACTCTAAAATTGCAAAAATCTAATAGTGCAAAAGAGATTTAGAAAAAAAAATCTTGCAGAATATTAGATCTGATCCTTGGGGGTGAATGTCATCTAATTCAAGTAAGTAGCAAAAGAACATATGTGAGGACAGGAGGGTAAGGAAACCTGGGAAGAAAGAGTATCTTTCCAATATAAATCAGAAATTTTATGTTTTGCATAAAAAAGGCATCTGCTATTTTTGTTTGTTTTGCTTAATGGTCCTGAATTAAAACTGATATCACTGACCTCACACATCTGATTTCAGAAAACTTGTTAAGAACAAGATACTATCACATTAAAATATGTTAACGGTTCTATTTCTGGGATTGTTCAGGATTAGTTTTACCCATATGCTAAAACAAATTGGATGGTCCAGAATCACAGGTTATCACCTGAATTCAGATTTGGGCTTTAGGATCATTGTACCTCCAAATTTTATGCAAACGTTTTTCTGGGAGAATGGTTGAAATCTCTTGTCATTTTCTCATGGCAGTGAGAAACTCAACAAAATTGAAAACTCTCTGGTAAGACTCTCTGGCATATGATCTCATCAAATAATTTCATATTTATGTATTCTTATTACTTACTTGATTGCTTAGAAGATATACAATGAAGTTTTAAAATAAATCCTTCTCACTTTTTTTTACTGTATTTTAAGCTTATGATATAAAGCTCAAAAATGGAAGTAGATAGAATGATTCTAAATGTAAGAAATTCCCAAATCATTATTTTAATGTATTTGTCATACTTCTGAACAATATTCTCAAACCATACCAGCAAAATAGACACACATGTTACTAAGTTTGATTGTTATTAATGGTAGAGGTGGCCTTTGGTCAGAGGCAATCATTTATATAACATGATTTAAGGAAGTTGCGAAGATGTTTCTGAACCCACAAATTCCCACTACTTTCTGGGCTGGAACTTCTATTACCATCCTTCTCTAAACCATCCTTCTCTGTTTCATCTGAACTATAAATATCTCTAGGGAAAAAATATTGTTTTAAATCTCATAAGCCATAAGTGCCTATCAGGACTTCTCATATTTTGAAATGGACAAGAGAGGAGACACATCAACACATGGAGGGGAAAGGACATTCCACTGAAGAATGACATAATAACAAAAATGACAGCCAATAATGCTAATGGTGGGCTTCAGTCATAGAAAGTAAGAGAGAAGGCACAGAGAAGCAGTATCAATGATTATCATAGGTGCCATGATTTCAAATATAGTAGAAATTGAAAGACTCGTAAGAGAATTCTATGAAAAAATGTATGCCAATAAATTTGCAAATGGAGATAACTAAAATTTTACACAAAATCATTATTAACTATATTATAGAATAGATAAACATGGAATGGTTAGACAAATAATACCATTAGAAGAATTGAATTGATAGTAAATGGTTACTCTTCATGTAGTAATACTTTTTCTACACACACAATGCACAAAACACCAGTTTCAAACTGTGTTGGCATCTCAGTGAACTTTTAAGGAATGCATGAATTCTGTCTTATTTGAACTATCTGAGAGAAGAGAAAAAGAGAGAGACCCATGCTTTTCAGAGTATGTATCTAGTATATCTTTGATGCTTAAATCTGTTACAGACAGTTCAAAAATAAAATTACAGCCCAATCTTATTGTGAATGTAGATGGAAAAATATAAATAAAATATTAGAAAACCAAGTTCAAAAATGTGTTGTGGTAAAATATCCAAGTATATATAATGCATACATTCAACTATTCAAAACATACAACAATGGTATTACATGTCAATATATTAATGTAATTCACCACATTAACAGATCAGGAAATAGAAATCATATAATCATCTCAACTGTCATAGCAAAAGCAATTGCTCTATTCAGTATTCAATTGATATGCTTTCAATATTTAATTGAATATGCTTTCTTTTCCTAGTAAATTTTATCTACATCAAACAGTACTTAATGGTGGAGTTCAAAAGCAGTTCTAATTAAGTCAGGAATAAGATAAGGATGCTTAGTATCACCTCTACTCAACATTTTACTAGCAGTTCTTTCCTAACTAATAATAAAGAAAAAGAAATGAACATGATAAAGAGACAATTCTCTATAAAGAAAATCCAAAAGAAACTAAAACAAAGAATTAAAATGTATAAGAGTTTTCATTAGGATTGCTGGAATTAATAAAAGCATAAAAAAGTCGTTTAAAATATTTTTAAAAGATACAGTTAAATAATATCAAAAATTTTAAGCAGCCTAGTAATAAATAAATGAACAAAAACAGACGAATATATAAAATACAATTAAAAGCTCCTAAAGAACCCTTGATTAAATAGGGACATATTTCTTATTTATGAATAGAGATATTTAATATCATGTCTATCCTTCCTGAGTGTTGCCCAGGCTGGAGTGCAGTGGTGAGATCTTGGCTCACTGCAACCTCCGCCCCCTGGGTTCAAGTGATTCTGCTGCCTCAGGCTCCACAGTAGCTGGGACTACAGGCATGCACCACCATGCCCGGCTAAATTTTGTATTTTTAGTAGAAATGGTGTTTCACCATGTTGGCCAGGCTGGTCTCGAACTTGTGACCTCGTGATCAGCATGCCTCAGCCTCCCAACTCATTTTCTTTACAGAAAAAATTAAATTAAATTTCTACTTCATATTATATCTCCAAATTAATTTTAAGGGATTAAAAAACAAAACAGGAAATAAACAACTTTATAATTATTAGATAAATGTTTAATAAAACTTCTTTTTAAACTCTGATAGGAATGTATTTCCTAGCTGAATACGTAACTCAAAAAAATACAGATAATTAACACTAGCTGCATTAAAATGTAAACATGCTTCCCATAAAACGAATAATGAACAAAGTCAAATAAGCAAAAATTGGAGATAATATTCATAATGAGTAAAATAAAGGATTAGTACCCAGATTTGAAAATTGTCCTATGTGCTTATAAGAAATATTCAAGCTACCTTGTAGAAAAGTGGACACAAGATCTGGATAAGCAATTTACAAAAAAGTCAGTCCAAAGGCAAATCATTCATAAAAGTGTACACAATCTAACAGGCATCTGGAAAACAAAATTTATTCCTTTTTTTAAAAACAAAATTATTGCATAACTATTCATTTGGCAAGATTTGTTTCAAGTATCAAAATATCATAAACTGATGAATTGTGAAGGAATAGTCACTGATGCTGCAAAAGAAAAGTTGTCCTCCAAAATGAGAGAAACTTTGGAGAACAACTTGGCAATATCTAGTAAGTTAAAAACCTGTTTGCTCTAGGATCCATGGCTGCAATTTCAAATATATATTACAGGAAAATCTTTGCACATATACATCAGGAGACTTGTCAACAATGTCTCTTGAAGCTTTGCTTACAATGGCTATAAGAATAAAAACAACTTAAATATCAAACAGTAAGAAAATCTATACATACCTTATGGAAAATAAAAGAACACACCACAGTGATTAAGAACAAGATGGAGCTACTGGTTTCCATATGTAAATCTCAGAAGCATGTTTAGTGCAAAGAAGCAAGACGAAGACAGTTTTATAATTTTGTTTGTTTGTTTTGTTTGAGACAGAGTCTCTCTCTGTTGCCCAGGCTGGAGTGCAGTGGTGAGATCTCGGCTCAGTCCAACCTCCACCTCCTGGGTTCAAGCAATTTGCTGCCTCAACCTCCCAAGTAGCTGGTTCGACAAGCGCCTGCCACCACACCGGCTAATTTTTATTTTATTTTATTTATTTATTTTTTGTACTTTTTAGTACAGACAGGGTTTCACCATGTTGGCCAGGTTGGTCTCAA